ATAGCTGAAGGGAACATGTGCATAGCAGTCTAAGCTGTTTCATTGCCACTTGTACTCTGTTCACCCCTTTCGGGCCACAGTTAAAATCAGTCTCAAGCACTGATTAGGTAAGCTAACTATTACACTTGTCGAGTCTACCTCACAGATGTGAGGGGAACTAACTCCTAATAATCTCTCACTGCTGCGAGAGCTTGTTTTTTTTCCTCGTCTTTTTACTGCCCTATCATCAGATCGTGACGTCGATTATGACACAAGCTTGTGGCCGCGAAAGGCTAGACAAAAAACAGCCAAATGTGAAATTTGTAAAATGATAATTGTCACGTTCTACCAAAGAGTTAGACGCCCTGGTAGATCTATAACATATTGATCTAGTACTGACATCTCTGCTGCTTTGCTTTGTGTTTGTGCATTCACATCTAAAGTTAAATTTAATTTTAATTGGAATTGATATTTAATGAGATACTTTCCCGATTATTTTGGCGTTTGAACATACAATAATGAATTCCGGATTTGTTTTCATTCACCTCTGAGTCGCCGCCTCGAGCAAGGTTCTTGTGCGATATCCCCAGGCCATCCTGGCCCCGTTTCACTTTGATTACCCTGTCAAACAAGTCAGCCTTCGCCCCTGGTCAATATATCTGAAAACCCCCGAAATCTGGGTTAGCCCGCTTGCCATTAAAAGCGACCAAATATCAGGGTTCGATTCTCGAGGTATCTATGTTTGCTGGTGCCGCCATGATATGGTGGTCAACGATCAAACAAATAAGATCAAAGCGTTGGCTCCTCTGTGACTGAGCTGTGGATTTTCACACAGACTGACCATTGCGTGGGTGGCTGGCGGGTGCTCGGGTGTTGTTTGCTCCTTCTTTCCTATCGAACATATATCGGCCTTATCTCTACTCCTTCTTTCTTCGTATGTCTCCCTTGTAACACCTCTGAACTTCGGCACTTATGTGACCTAATTGTGATGTAAGTGCCATAAAACTTTTACTGAAACGAAAGTTATAAGAAAAACTAAAAGGGAAAACTACATTTGCAAAAACTGAAATTAAAACCTTCACTAAAACTGATACAACAACTGAAACTAAAACCTTCACTAAAACTCTAACTAAAACTGATACAACAACTGAAACTAAAAACCTTCACTAAAACTCTAACTAAAACTGATACAACAACTGAAACTAAAACCTTCACTAAAACTCTAACTAAAACTGATACAACAACTGAAACTGAAACGTAAATCTTTGCTAAAGCTCCTATTAAGACAACCTCCTCTCAGCCATCAGAACAAGCTAACTGCGAGTTGTCTGGGTGTCCAAATGAAGTGTTCCGGATGAAATGTCCCAGCATCTCCCGTGTCCAGACCGGCTGGTCAATGGCTGCCCGGTGTCCGGCGTTCCTCAGCACAACCTGAGGACGAGAGGTCGTCAAATGACGTCACTAACCAGCTCACCGTAGACACCTGTAACCACATTGAAATTATATGAAGGAATTTTCTTATCTATCGTTGTCTCCAGCAGGATTCTCGATTTCATAAAAAGAGCATTCGTCTTTACTCCAAAATGTAAATAAGCTTAGCGTTATTTTAAAAATGTAAACTAGATCTGCTGTTGTTCCTTCTTTTAATTGACATTTTTACAACCGCATGTATTTTTCGATACTTCAACCATATTCATATACTTGCAAAGTGAAACCAAGCCATGCTGTGAGCTAATGTGGGTAGGGCCAACTTGTGTCCCGCGCGTTCATCCTGGACCGTATGTAGTTGAGAGCGCCGTAAAAGTCTCACCAAACAGAAACACACACACACACACACACACACACACACACACGCGCGCGCGCGCGCGCGCACGCACGCACGCACGCACGCACGCACGCACGCACGCACGCATACACGCACACATACACACACGCACGCATACACACACATACACACACACACATACACACACACACAACACGCACACACATACATACAACATAATCAACAACAACAACAACAACAACAACATAAAACAACAACATAAAACAACAACATAAAACAACAACAACAACAACAACAAAACAACGACCATAACAACATCAGCAAAAACACAAACTGCAATACTAACAAAAACAACAACCAAATAATAATAACCATAAAAATGCGAACAGAGGAAGGTAGGGTTGAATGGACGAATAAGGTGGCCGCTGACTATAGATTAACTGTGTGCCCCCCCCCCCCCTCCTGGGGCGTTAGGGGAATGATTTTCGAGGGGGAGGGGGCAGATGCTTCAGACAGGAGAAATGACAAATATAGTATATGAAACCATTTTTTTTTTTTACTGCAAAGCTTTATATACAAAGAAGGAATATTGTGAAAGGTAGGTTTGTTTGTTCGGTTTTAGAAAGAGTTTTACGGCACTTGCAACACAATAAAGTCACACAAGTGCCGAAGATTAGAGGTGTGTG